AGGACAAGCAGAAGAAACCAAAATGACCTGGCTGGTGTAATTGCACCAAGTCTGACTATTGTAATTTTTGTTTAATGGCATAACATCTTTCCTATAGGTGTTCTTGGCCAAGTCAATCCCGTGCCAATTCTGACTCGGCCTCCTAAAATAAAATTTGAAACAGTAAGTAGCCATGGAGGACCCCAGTAGGTCCAATTCTTGGGGTTCCTCTTTACTATTTGGAAGAATTTTGGTCCACTCGTCTCAAGTATCGACCGGGTTAGGTCTCTTACCCATGGTTCGGAGGAGGTCGGAGTTTGACACAGGCCAATCATCGGCTACCAAGGAAACTCCCACCAGGCATATGGACAAGGGATTGTCCAAATTGCCCATGGTCAAACATAGGTTGTCCTGCTGCAAGGACTTCGCCAGCATAATCCAGACATTTTCCTTTGGCTGTGGCACAATCCAGCCATCTGCCGCTTGCAGCCACAGGATGATGGTAATCGTGGCAACGACTAGCTAGAAGCAGTGGGGCACTTTCAGTTGGTACAACTATGTTGATGTCATCTGGGCAGCCATACTTGTTCTAATAAAATAAAGAAGAAATGTAAATAAAAGAAGTTTGGTTCCCTCCCCTCCCAGCTCCCACCTTAGGTTAAAACAAAGTAAAACAAGTTAGGGCTGAGGGTGAAAGGGACGACGGGTGAGGTAGGAGGGTAGGGGGAATGGGACAGGAGGAGATGGGGTGTCAGGGAGTGTCTCAATCAGTGGGGGTAAGTATCGCCTGGTGATCAGGACTCGAGACACTATGTTTGGTTGCATCCCCATTCTCTTTCTCTTTCTTCAGTGCCATGCCACTGCATCGTCTGGTGGAGAAGGTGCTGCGGTCTCAGGGCTGTTTCACATCGGGGGGGTCTGCGGTGGCGGTGTCATCTAGGTACAGCTTTACGTATTTTTCCAGAATCCACTTGGGGCCTTGAGCAGTAGAAACACAAGCGTACCCTCTCCCCCAAGTTATGAGCGGGTATGGGCCTGTGATGTTTCTGGATTCCGGGTCTCTCACAGGGACAGGTGGGTGCTTTTAAAAGTGCTCTAGAGTTGTTAAAGAAATGCCTTAAAATGGGCAGATTCTGCTCCCAGTCTGTTCAATTTAGGAAATTCAGCACATAAAGTGCTTTACATACTCTCTCTACCGGGATCATGGTCAGGGCCGAATCATTCTGTTGATCTAAAAGTCTTTTTATTTCTTTGTGAGAGCGCTCCACAATTGCTTGTCCTGTGGGGTTGTGGGGGATACTGGTGGTGTTAGTGATCCCCCATTGTTGTAAAAACTGCTCAAACTGTGTTGAGGTGAGCCCTGGTCCGTTATCTGTTTTAATTGCTTTTGGGACCCCCAATGTGGTGAACGTCATAAAAAGGTGCTTGATGGCGTCTTTTGTCTTTTCCCCCGTACAGAGGGATGTGAACACAGCCCCAGAGAATGTGTCAACGGACACATGCATGTATTTGAGGTGGCCAAAAGGGTTGTAGTGTGTTACGTCCGTTTGCCACAACTCCAGTGCTCCCAGTCCCTGGGGGTTTACCCCCATTACCACCGGTGGAAGGGCAAGGGACTGACAGCTGAGGCAGGTGGCAAAGATGGCCTTTGCATGTTCCCTTGATATTTTGAACTGCCTTATGAGGGCAGGAGCGTTCTGGTGGAAGAAGGCGTGACTAAGTCTTGCCTGTGCAAAAATGTCTGGTAGGTTGATAGAAAGTGGTGGTGCATTAAAGTGTATGTTTATAGCAAGTTGGTCAGCCATCCGGTTGCCCTCTGCAATGGGTCCTGGCAGGCTGGTGTGAGCCTGGACGTGCATTATATGGTAGAGTTGCTCTCAATGGGAGATTAGCCAAATTAGTTCTGGGAGCAAGTAAAATAATTTTTTATTCTGAATTTCTTTGAGCAGGGCATGTTCTGCTCGCTCTGCTATCCCAGCAACATACACCGAATCAGTTACCAAATTGAAATGTTGCTGAAATTTTTTGAATGCTCTCATGACCGCAGAGAGTTCTGCGATCTGGGGGGAACCCTCAACTAGTTGGATGTTGGACTCCCACTTCTGACTCTCTGGGTCCTTCCACGTGATCACCGATTTGTGGGATTTCCCCAACCCATTGGTGAACAGCGTAAGAGCATCTTTAATGGGTGTTTTAATTTGTATAATTTTGGCGCCAAATAGAGAGAGTATCTTTGAATAGCTTATGCTTAGGATAATGAATGGAGATCTGGCTGGGATAGCTATCTAATGATATTTGTAAATTTTCATTTGTTTGCAATAAAGACTGCAATTGCTCGAAATTTAGTGGAAGGTAAATGCATGCCAGATCACACCCTGCGAGGGTCCGGAGGCGGTGTCTGGCCTTAATTATCAGTCTGGCCATCAATTCTGTGGGATTTTTTTTTTTTTTTTTTTTTTTTTTGGTAAACTGTACTGTTATCTGATTTATTTTATTGGGCCTGCTTCTGGATATTTTAAGAAGTGCCCAAATGAATAATTCTTCTGAACTTAAACTGGAAGTTGTGGTGGCTTTTTTGTGGTTTAGGTTCAGTGCCATGTACAGGTTATGCTGACATAGAGAACTCCTTCGTGTGAGTTATTGGAGGATTACATTTTCCCTGTTCCACAGTTCCTCTCTACTTCGGCACAGATACTCCCTGTAACCCAGTGAAATCCCACAGATATGATTTAATGGCAAATAAAATGAAAAACAGCTTTTTGGCTGAACAGGATGTGACCAGTGCTATGCATCATTAAATGCAATAGGAAATGAGGTGAAAACAGCACAGAAAGAAGCACATCATAATTTATCTCTTTTTCACTGAATTTCTCGAATAATTCTGAAGCACTGTAAATATGAGTGTCCTGAGGGACCAAATAGGGAAGAAGCTTTAAAGGATCCCGTTCTTTCTTCAGCTTTGTGCCTTTTCTAGGTCAAGACAATAGGAAGTCCAGGAGTGAAATTATTAAGTAAAGCAGCCATCCAAAGGTGCAGAAAAATGTCAAGTAGGGTTTTCAAAGGCCTGACTGGATAACTTGTAATGAGGATAGCTAATTGATAATGAGAAGTAGCTTCCAGTTATTTTCATTGCAGCTAAGTGTCCAAGCACTGAAAATCCAATTAGACCACAACAGGGATTTTGAATGAGGCACTGATGGTTTGTAGTCCTCAGGTAAGACAGTCTAAAATGCATAAAAGAAAAACAGTGTCCATGCATGGACCTGTTAATGGTGGGAGTGAAAAACTGCACCTCCTGAATTTATTGGGTGTTCAGGGATGCATCACCAAGACCATAAATGCCTAGCTGTGCTGTAACCCTCCTCAGGAAAATCACAGCTATGTTTGCTTTCCTGGAGTCAGGATGTTTCCAGTAGGAGTGATTTATCGACTGTGCTGCTTTATTTCTGTTAAATATCCGGCAGCTGGCATGTGCTGAAGAATTGTGAAGCATCTGCTTGGATTTGGGTTTTTTTCTCAGTCAGTAATTAATAATACCTCAAGCACCGGTATTACCATACAATAACAGCATCAGCTTAAAGCATCTCAGTTCCCAGATGTCTCTGAGCGGGGGATGCTAAGTGCTCTTTGTTCTTCTAATACAGAACCATAGAATGGTTGGGGCTGTGTTAGGAATGAGACGCTTGACACAGCCAATATATCAAGCAGCAATTCAATTTATTAATTAATATGGTAATCTATGAGCAAAGACAGCACTTGGTACAGTGGTGGGGGTTTTCCCCTCTGACTGCACACCAGCTGTTGGGCTTGATGGCATTTATCGATATATTCATGCATATTCATAAGCTTTTCCCAGTTTCTATGTGAGCTTTTGACAGTTTCCATTTCTACATTTAACAACACAATTCTATACTCCAGGGTCATAAATCTATGATGGTGATGTTTGGTTCCTTTCCAATTTCTATACCCTATTGTGTGTATCCCAGGATGTGTGTCCAGATGGTGGGGTCCAACTTCTGTTTTCTGGGATCATTAATCCATGGTAATGATGTCCAGCTTCCCCTTTCGACATCACTAATCAGCAATCTTGATGTCTATCTTCCTTGTCCAGGAGCTTGAGATAGGGTCACTTCCCTTTCTCTTTAAATCCTTTGTACATTCTAAAGCTACATTAATGTCCTTAATACTAAACAACAGTCTAAAGTTATAATTCAAAAGTTCTTATTACAAAATAGCTTAAGACTTCTAATTGCTATCTGCAAACAAAAGATTGGTTCAAAAACCTTCTTTCATGCTTTCCTTGGTTGTTTATTAGAACTCATCTTTATAGCTGTCCCATGGCTATGTTCCATGCATTTCATAACTACAACTGCACAGGTTGCCTTCATTCACCTGACACAAAACATAACTTTGTATCTTACAGCTGGAAGGGATCTCTGGAGCTCATCTAGCCCAGCCCCCTGCCCAGGCTGGGTCACCAGGTGACACAGGAACACAGCCAGGTGGGTTTGGGGTGCTTCCAGAGGGTGAAACTCCACAAACTTTCTGGGAAGCCATTCCAGTGCCTTGTCCCTCTATGGAACAAATTTCTTCCTCCTGTTGTGGTTTACTTTATGGCTATTGCTCCTCATCCTGTCACTGGGTACCACTGAACAGAGTCTGGCACCATCCCCTGAGAAAATGCCTTAGAAATATTTATTTGCATTAACTAATTCACAGCCTTGTCTTCTCCACACCTTTATTTACTACACCCTTAAAGCTCAATTCCAGCATGCCCCTGACTACGGGACGCATCTGCTGCCTGTGCCACCGATGAGAATGAACTTCCTTTCTGAAAGCACGCCGAGGCACCACCCCAAGGAGCACACTTGAGGCAAACTCGCTTGTGCCGAGCATCCAGAGCCGCACCAGCCGCCTGGAGCTCACCGTACAGCCGGCAGCACCCCGCTTCCTCCCGCCGTGAGGCACTTCCAGAGGGCAGAGGCCGGGAAGGAGGAGCCGCGGCCGGGCCGGCCCCGGACGGACGCGCCGTGCCGCCCCGCCGCCGCGCTCCGCCCTTCCGCCGGGACATGGCGCAGGAGCTGCGGCCTATGGACGGCGACGTGGAGGACGGCGAGCTCTCCGGCTCCGACTCGGACATGCCCGGCGCCGGCTCCCCCGCACAGGTGAGGGTGGGCAGCGGCCGGAGCGCCGGGCCGGGGGAGCGCCGGGCCGGCGGGACGAGAAGGCCGCGCCTGAGGGGGTTGTGCCGGCGTGGGGCACTCGTCCCCGGGCCGGGGGCCTCTCCCGGGGCTGGGTGGCCTCTCCCGGGGCTGCTGGCGTGTCCCTGCGCTCCTGGTTGTCCCTGGCTGTTCCTGCGCCCCTGGCTGTCCCTGTCCCTGCGCCCCTGGCTGTCCCTGGTGCCGCCGTGCTCTCCCCGCGGAGCCGCTGCCGGGCGGGAACGATGGGGGCAGTGGGGGCAGAGCCTCCGGGACACCGCGCGGAGAGCCCCGAGCGCTGCCAGCGGCCAGCCCCGGGACCCCGCGGCTCTCCGGGTCTGGGTAGAGATTCCAACGCTGTCCCCGGGTCTCTCTTTGTCCCGTTTTGTTCTCTCCGCCACCAGCCCCAGGTCCCCAGCCCAGGGAGGAGCTGGAGCTGCTGGAGGAGCCCAGAGGAGGCTCCAGGACGAGCAGGGGATGCAGCAGCTCTGCTGGCAGGAAAGGCTGGCACAGCCGGCATCGCTCACCCGGCAGGAGAAGCTTTGGGCTGAGCTCAGGGCGGCCTCGCAGGGAAGATGGAGAGAGACAATGGACACGGGCTGCAGGGACAGGAGCCAGGGAATGGCTCCCAGTGCCCCAGGGCAGGGCTGGGTGGGAGATTGGCAATGGGGAATTGTTCCCTGGCAGGGTGGGCAGCCCTGGCACAGGTGCCCAGAGCAGCTGGGGCTGCCCCTGGATCCCTGGCAGTGCCCAAGGCCAGGATGGACCCTGGGGCTGGAGCAGCTGGGACAGTGGGAGGTGTCCCTGCCATGGCAGAGGTGGCACTGGGTGGAATTTACAATTTGGGTGGTCCCTTCCAACCCAAACGAGTCTGTGATTTGCAGAGGGTATGAGGAATTTATTCTGTGAGGAATTTGTACTGAGAGTATGAGGTATTCATGGCAGTGTACAGCCCAAAAAAGATTTCAAAGATCAGTGTGTAACACTGTATGTGTAACAGATTTTGTACTCTCCAGTTATTTTGATCTTTGCAATATAGTTCGGAGAAATGAAGTGCAAAATAATTTTTTTACAGAAATGTTCAGTCTTTTTTTATTTATGCTGGGTTTGGAGTTTTTGCATTACACTTGAACTTAAAGATTTGTTTTTCATAACGTGGTAAATTGAATACTTCCCTTTTCCTGTTTGGAGAAAGAAGAAACGGCACTGTGTTGATGAAAACAGTAGGGCTAAAGAAAGAATTTTTATTTCACTTGAAAGTGAAGAAGAGATCCTATTTTGAAAGATAATGGGACAGCATATGACTTTATGATAAGAAATCAGTCAGGGAATAATTGGAATTTGGAGTAAAAGCATTACTTGAGTATTTGTAGATCAGTGGAATGATTTTTTTGGTGGGCAGTGTTTGTTCTAATTCATAAGACATACTTAATCCTTAGTGTCTTGTTGATTTAAAGGAAGAAAAATGGGTTGTTCTGTAAAGGTTCTGCTGTCCCCAAGTTGCTTCATGTGCCATCCTGACTGAACCAGGATCACAGAATACTCTTAGTATGAGCCATCCCAGTTTTATGGGTTTGATTTTTAGGCTTTATTTTTATCATTTGGTGGTCTCACTTGAAACTGCAGAGAGATTATTAACTTCTCTGATTATTAACTGATTATTATCAGTTCTCTGATTATTAACTGTCTCTAGACAAAGCTCTGGTAGGTTGCTGTGTTGTTCTGGTATTTTACTGTTCTTAGAGCCTGCTGTGCATCTTGCATCTTTGTCCAGTTTGCACACATTCATCACTTTTCCAGTTCTGTAATCATTTTTGCTCAGCAAAGTTTGCTTTCAGGAGAATAGCAGCTCCTGACGTGTTTCTATGTCAGCCATGCTATATTTCATGCTCATGCACTCAAAATACAGGAGTTTCAAAGGATGCCCCTGTGCTGTGGCCCACGAGATGCTTGTGGAGGTCTGCATGGCCACAAGGGTCAGAATTATGTATTTTAGCTAATTGACAACTTGATAGCCTTTCTAATTTTCATTGAATAATAGATTTTGATTAATTTTTAATTCCAGAAGCTGCATGCTGGCAGTGATTCCTGCAGGCCCTTCCAGAGCAGCCTCTCATCCTGCGCTCCCAGTGTTCCTTACAGGACCACCAAGAGCCTGGACTCGAGCGAGGAGAGCGGCTCCGAATCCGATGACGACAGCTGCCTGTGGAAGCGAAAGAGGCAGAAATGCTTCAACTTCTCCCCTGGCAAACCCGAGCCCTTCCAGCTCAGTCAGAGCCACCAAAAACAAACTGCTCTGCGTGGGAAGAAGGTCAACAACATCTGGGGCGCCGTGCTCCAGGAGCAGAACCAGGATGCGGTGGCAACTGAGCTCGGGATTCTGGGCATGGACGGTTCAATTGACAGGAGCAGGCAGTCTGAGACTTACAACTACCTGCTGGCTAAAAAGCTGATGAAGCAGAAGGAGGCAGAGACTTTGGATAAGGAGCTGGATGAATACATGCACGATGACAAGAAGACATTGCCGGCAGAGGAGGAAAACGGGCAGGGCTTCCTCAAACGGAAGCGGCCCATGAAAGACAGACTGGGGGAAAGGCAAGAGATGAAATACAAGGGAAGGTATGAGATAACAGAGGAAGATTCAGAGGAAAAAGTGGCAGATGAAATTGCTTATCGGTGAGTTAAATAATGGTGCATCTTCACTAAGTGTTGGTGGTTGCTAGAAAGTGGGGTGGGGGGAAGCTCCTGTGCTGCTACATAAGGTGTCACACCAGATTGATGCCTCAGGTTTTAGCTTTTATATTCTTCACATTATATACTGCTTTAGTGTGTACTGAACTCCGTATTAGAGGATGGTGAGCTCTCTTCACAGAGAGAGCTTCTCTAGCAGGGGATCAAGGACAAATGATCCAAATTTCAGGGCCAAGAGCATAAGCAATGGTGGAATGAAGAGAGAAAAACAAGAAGGATGGGAATTAATGGGCTGAAGCTGTAACTGGACAATTAACTCCAATATGTAAATGGAGCAGAACTTACAAAAGTGAGAGACCTCATGACTGGTCATCCATTTTTGATCATTTTGGGTTCATATGGGATGTAGCCCTGGCTGGGCTCTTGTGCTGCCCCAGATGAATCTTTTGAGGCTTTCTAATAAAGCCTCAAAGCTTTTAACTCCGTCTAGACTCTGTTCTAGGTCAGCCTTCTCAAGGCATAAAGATCACAAAAAGCATTTCCAAAATCCTGGGATAAAAATGCATCACTGTAGCTAGTGATCTTGTAGAAACATCCAAATAATACTGTCTGTTTCTTCTAATGTTTATGTTTTTATTTACAAAGCCACTGGGGCTGTTTGTCATTGTACAAAGCCACTAGGGCTTGTTTGTTATCTGGGAACAGGGCAAGGAAAAATACTGCTTCTCATTATACAGATTTAGTAGTGGCTTTTTTTTTGGGAAATACCCAGTAATTGTTTCAAGTTGACACTAATGCACACATGCTGTGGTCACCACAAAAATCTGTTCTAAGTTCTATACCTTTGAAACCGTAGATAACTTGGACAGAGCAGTGTTTTGGATGGAGTTAAACTGCCACACTCCTCTTTTAGTGTTGCAAGGGAAGAAAATTATTTTAAATGAAAAACTAGACTTAGAAGATCTACTGACATTTAGCTTGAGGTTTAAATGAAACTTCGGTTTATTGTTTTTATGCATGTGGTATTACCTCAAAATCTGGTAATATTACAGCAGTTAGTTATTAATGCTGTTAATAGTTCTGGGTAGCTCCTCATTTCTTAATTTGAAAAGTTCAAGTATATTTCTTCCAATAAACTCCTTTGTGTTGTATAGAGCTTCATTGAAATAGGCCAGAAGCCTCTTTTTTTCTAATTATCGTAGTGGTGGCCCTGAGCTGTATCAGTGGGGTTCTGGTTGTAGTGTAATTTTTTTGTTGTTTTGTTTGCTTCTTATAGATTATTGTAGATCAGTCAATAAACTGATTTCTTCTTTGTTATGTAGGTTTGACTGAAGTGGCACATGATACAGGGGAACTTGTATACTTCCTGTTTTCTCCAGTTGATGATTTAACTGTAAAAAGTTAATTTTAACTGTTAAATGCACAAGAAGCTTTTACACTTTGATTTCAGAGATTTCTGCAGGTCTTTGCAGTTTCATATTTGGTTTGAAATTTCACACATCAATAGAAGAAAAACAACCACTCAAGGCATTTTCACTGAAACAAGTTTTAAAAATGCATGCTTCAGGGAAAAACCATGCTTCAGAAGCTCAGTATTTTGAAATCTGATTCAATAAACCATTTAAATGCATTTGAACACATAGACTCTTCAGCACAAAATGAATTACTCATTGTGGAAGTTCCACAGTCAGTTATACTCAAGGAATTATCCTGACAATAAATGTGCCTCTTTTCTTTCCCCCCTCTCTGTTCAGACTTTGTGAGCCAAAGAAAGACTTAATTGCTCGAGTAGTGAAAATAATTGGGAAGAGAAAAGCCATCGAGCTGCTGATGGAAACAGCTGAAGTAGAACAGAATGGTGGACTGTTCATTGTGGTAAGGAAATTGTCATCTTGTGGGCTTGCCAGGACGGGCAGGGCGACTACAAGCTTTTTACTTGTAGAATTTTCACGGAGTCTGTCATGCTGAACATGTTCTCCTGTAGTTTTATGGCCTTCCCTTGCCATGAGACTCCCCTAAAAAACATCAGTGTAACCTTCCAGCAGGATTTGAGCAAACAATCAGGTGAATGAATCTGGAGATTACCCAGGTTGTTGTGCTGAGATTGGTGTCTGATTTGCGGGGATAACGTTGTGTCTGTTACTGTGGCTCTCCTTGGAATCTTTCCCTCATCCTTGAGGATGAAGGATTCTCAGGCTTGAATAAAACCAGCATTTCCAACATTCCATTTGCTGAATAACTCCCAAAAGGAAAACTTTACTTTATTAGGGAACCACTGGCTTGTGTACCAGCAGAGCAAAACTGAGCACTGATTTCTGTTAAAAATCATGGTCAAAAACCCTATACTCCACGGTTAGGTTGTCAATTTTTTGTATGTTTTTGTTGTTGTTAAATAATGAGCCTCAGTGCAAAAAATACAGTGGGTAAGAAAAGCTGTGAGTGATGATTTAGAAGTATTTTCACCTGATTACAATTTTTAAGTTCCATCACTTGGAAGTAGAGAGGAGGCAAAAAAACAAGTAGGGGAACACAGTCTAAAACAAAAATAAACGAAAAAAACCCCTTCCTCTTTCAAAAAACAAAAGGCAGCAAATTCCAGCTAGGTAGTTATGTTAGAAGCATTCAGTTGTCTTTAAAATTAATTAAAAAGTGTTTAACAGAAGAGATGAAGGGACACAGCTCCTGGTGGCACAGGTTGCTTTGGGAGCAGGTCGGAGTACACTCTGTGAAAGGCAGATCACAAAAGGCACAATGAAATGCAGGTGATAAAAGAATGTTCACATGTGCTGTTTCAAGAACCTACTTAAAATCTGACCATCGCTCTTCTTGGGATTTTTAGATTATATAGTACATTATTTAGCAGGAAAGTATCATATTTTGTACCAGTATCATCCGGTTTTTACTGGAGAAAAAGCAGTGTTTTATACTGCAAATTTTAATTGAACAGTAGTATAATAATTAGCACTTGTAACTTACAGAGGTTTCAAAGCTGAGCCCATTCCATGCACTGCTCTTGATGCATTGAAAATTTCTGGGTTGAACATGTGAGGAGGAATTTTAAAGTACAGGTTGTGTTTGCTACGCCTTCAACAGAAATGCAAAATCCTGTAGATAACACAGACAAGTTGTAGCATTTCTGAGTACAATTACAAAAAAACCCCAACATGAACATAGTTTTATTAGACTTGTCTTAGACATTTTACTGAGCTTATGTGTTAGGAATGCTCTGAGTGCATAACTTGTTGCAGATAGCTGTGGGAGTAGTTAGAATACTATTTGTATTTTGGTTCTTCACTACCAAAATCAGGTTTAGTGTGTGGTTTTAACAATTTAGCTTTATATTCTAAAGGATTTTTTTTTTTTTTTTGTAACTTCATGATTTTCCTGTCCAGATTTAGCAGGCTGGTTGTTGACCTTCATATGACTAATTCAGTCACAAATGAGACACAGCCAAGGTTATTTTAATGTGGCATTTGACACACCAGAATTTAAATTTGCTTTATTCTGTCTCAACACTGAGTGTTGCCTCAGAGGCTATTTTTTCTGTCAACACTTAGCATTAAGCATGCTATTCCCAATTTCCTCTCTCCCTATCAAGAATGGCACCAGGAGAAGAACACCTGGAGGTGTCTATTTAAACCTGCTGAAGAACACACCGAGCATCAAAGAAGAAAAAATCAAGGTAAAAATGTCAGGAGTTCAAATGTGCATTCTCGTTTGGGTTTTTTCTTCCTACTAGAAATGTTGTGACTGAAACTCTCTAACTTCCAACAAATATAACTGTGTATTCCACTGAAACCAGGCTTTCACATTCAAAAGACAGGTGAATGATAAAAGACCTACTCAAAAATTGTTGAATTGCCATTAAGTCTAAGCAGAAGGAACTCACTTTTGTGTGTTGCCAGTCACAAAAACCTGTTGAGGAGGACAAGGTCTGGCAGAGGTAAATGCTAGATTTTCCTAATCTGTATATTTGTATTCTTTACAGCAAAGTTGTCCACATTGTGTTTCTCCCCTTGGAGCTTTGTGCCATGGTGCATGGATTGAATGCAGGTCTCCCAGTAGAATATTTTTGTCCTGTATTGCTCCAGCTGTGGCACCAAGCAGAATTTCTCACTAAATCAGTTCATGGTCTGAACCTAATCTGAATGGCTCACTGGGCTCCTCTGTGGTGCTCTTTAAATCAGTTTTGTAAGCTTGTAAACATTATTTCTCTGAGATCTTTTTACTTAGTGCAGAAAGTACCAACTTCTTTATTTTCTTTTCTTTTTTTTGATGGCCTATGTTACTTTTTTAGAAGTGTTTTAGAGTTTTTATTTTGCTTATAGGTGGCTACAGGTAATTCTGTAAACCCTTCTAGGGTCTAGCACTGGGAATCGAGAAACAAATCAACTTTTTGTCAACACTGTGGTGATTATTTGGAGAGAAAAAAGAAACAGGAAAATAAAACCCCAACATCCTTTCATAGCTTACAATGGTCAGAAAAAATTTTTAAAAGTTGCAAGGCTGATTACTTTACACTATTAGAAAAGACATTTTCTGTTCTACCCCTCTTCCTTAAGTGCAGTCTTTTCTCACACTTCTGTTCTCAATACCAAATAGCTTAGTTAAATATTGACCATTATTTTTAGGTATGTGAGGTTTGTTATTACTTCACTTTTTTTTAAGGAAATACCAGTAAAATGAATATGCAAAAATTTGTTGTTGTTGTTTACTTCTTTCAAGGAAATATTCTATCTGGAAAACCAAAAGGAGTATGAAAACAAAAAAGCTGCCAAGAAGAGGAGGATACAAGTTCTGGGGAAGAAGATGAAAAAGGCCATCAAGGGGCTTAACCTGCAGGAATATGATGATGCATCTCGGGAGACTTTTGCCAGTGACACAAATGAGGCTCTGGCTTCCCTGGATGATCTGCAGGAGGGGCACCACGAGGCAAAGATGGAACCTGAGGATACTATTGAAATTGATAATGCCCATGATTTGGAGATCTTTTAGTTCCTAATATTCTTGATAGCAGAGTCTATAAACACAGGTTAACTGAGCCTTTCTTATAATCCCATGTCTTCTTGTTTTCAAAGCATGGGGAATACTTGATGCTGAAGAACAGGAGGTAATAATTAGCTAAATTTAACAGCATGAAACACTTTTAATTGTCTTGTTACTTGTTTGCCGAGTTCTCAGAAACTGTTAAGATTTTTCTAGATAAGAGCCCTGCATCACCTTAGGAAGTGTTTTTAGTCACATGTTAGTTTTAGGAGTTAAGGCTGTCTTTTAACCAAATACTTCTCATTTAATTTGCTGAAGTATACACAAAGTAATCAGGTGAGCAATGCTCTTTACTACGGATAAACAGAAAAAACAGAATAAATTTAGTCTTGATATAAATTATCATATATTCTTAATGTGGCAGTGTATTGACAAAAACAGTATTTAGAGGATTAAGACCTGTAAAAACAGATTGGTTTGTGAAATAATTTTAGTGGTCAGTGACCTTTGAATAACAACCTTGTAAATAAGCAGTATTGAGCAATGTATGTTTCAGATTTCTGCAGTATTTTTATTCTTTGTATTCCAATGGTGACTTGAGCTTCCTATCTGTTCTTTCTAAACATTTTCCATTATTAGGCACATACCTAAGTTCCATGGATCTTTTTGTTTGCAGACAAATTTAACTGAAAGTCTTCAGAGTAGTGAGATTTTACTGAGCTGTGTTCCATTCAAGGGTCTGTAGACTGTATGTGCAGATATAAACCCTTTACCTTTCAGTTCTTGTTTCTGTCCTCCTCCTGTGTGCAGTGAGATAAAGTGCAGCTTGCAGAAGATCTGGAGTTTTTCTGTGCTGACTCTTGCAGGGGATATTTTTTTTTTGTTATTTACTTGATGCAGGAAACTGTTGTGTAGTTCTTTAGTTTGGCCGAAAAGAATTTTTGTGTTGAATATTGTTTTTAATATAGCTGAAGAACATGTATAACACTGATATGTATGATGTCTGAAGTATTTTGTCACTAAGAAGTTGTAGCTTTTTTTTTGAGTAGACACTATTCAGCCCAACTTTTGCCCATAAATTTGTTCACCTTTGAGTCCTTGAGTTTCAGGAGGAAAGTGTGTCACTAAAACACATAATCACTTTATAAGATTGAACAATCCAGTACTGCCAAGACCTTGCATTTAAAGGATGGCAACATTTGAAGAAACATTTCTTACACATTCCATTCCCTGCCTTACTAAACCTGGGTTTTGACTTTCCTACTTTTTATCTGTTCACATGTCAGAGCTCCTAATTGTTAAAAAGTTAATCAGATGTGCAGCATGACTTTGCTGGTAGTAGTTGCTCGTGCTGAAATAACAAAATTTCTTAGTTTTTCATTAATTTTCCTAACCAGTGATGGACAGAGTAAACTGGTAACTCCTGTAGGGGAAACAGAATTTTGTGCTGTTTAATTGCATTGGGACTGTACCATTTCATCCTGGTTTTGGGAACTGCTTGGGGATATGTCTTAACTCTCTTCTGGATAGAATCAGAAAATTGTAACGTTGGTTTAAGCAACTTTTTTATCATTATGTAATTTGCACTGTGTATTTTTTTAATGTTAATATTTCTAACGTTGATTTCCCAGGCAAGGGGTACTTAAATGGTGTGTAAAGTGTTTCTTTAAAAAAAGGGTGATCGGGGCATTAAACTGTTGGAGAGGGCAGTGAATATGGGGAGGGGTCTGGAGAGGGACATAGGGACTGAGGGAACTTGGGGAGGAGACTGAGGGGAGACTCACTGGGGTCTCCAAAATCCTCTAGGGGGGAAGAGGAAGGGCAGGTACTGATTTCTTCACTCTGGTCCCCAGTGACAGGGCCCGAAGCTGGGTCGGGGTTTTCAGGTTTAGATTGGGTATCAGGAAAAGATTCTTCTTCCCCCAGAGGGTTGTTGGGCACTGGAACAGCTTTCCCAGGGCAGTGGTAACAACACCAAACCTGACAGAGTTCAGGGAGTATTTGGACACTGCTCTGGTTGGGCACAGCGTGGGATGGTTGGGGCTGTGTACAGCCAGGAGCTGGACTGGGTGCTCCCTTCCAGCTTGGCAGAGTTCAGTTCCCTCCTAGTGCCCAAGAGACCTTTTCTTACCTTGTGGTTGTTCTCTATTTTCCCTGGCTTTCCATAGAGTCCTTCTAAAAGCCAAGCCAGTTCAAAGTGATGAGTAGCCAAGTCTTCAGTCTTCATCCACCAGCAATCTCCTTGTGTTTGGTGTATCAAACAAGCTGCATTAAACAGCGCCAGTTTCTGTGTGGTGCTGCAGTTGAGGCAGAAGTTTTCTCTCTCAGCTCTTACTTAATCACCTTCAGTCTCTCTGGGCTGATCCCTACACAGGGAGCAGCCCTGTCTGCCTTTTTTTCTGGGATCAGATCTACACAGATTTTGGTAAGTGATGTTCTTGCTGCAAATGCAAGCAACACGAGGTGGGGTTTGAGCTCTTCAAGTTTCTCTAATGAGCAGGTATGGCTGATGCATTGTTTTTGCTGCAAATAAAGACTCTGTACTGCTGGTACAAACATCACCCTCCATCCCTTAAACTATAGCAGCATAAAGAGCCATCTCTGTTATACCCAAAGAAGATGCTGAAAAAAAGAGGGAAATGTGCTTTGGTCTGAAAACACAAAGCTTGTTTATAACCAAAGACATTTTGCTGCCTTGCATCCAAAATTCCAACTGCAAAACAGTTATTTTTTGTACAACTGGAAAAAATAGTTTATTAATGATTCAGTTTAACTGTGGATCTTGAAAGCATAATCTGAAATGTAATTGCAATTTTATCAAAGTAGATTTTCTCATTAAGGTGTTCTTATGCTCTCTGGGCTTATTAACTGCTGTTTTCCAAAATTCTCAAGCAAGCATGGAATGACACAGTTCAAGGTGTAAAGGTGATGGGAAAAGGAGATTATTGTGATGATATTTTCTGTTACAGAGAAGATTAATTCCTTGTATTTTTTTCAGACTAAAGGTGAAGGCATAGACTGAGTAATAAAGACAATTTTTAAGGGTTTTTTTAAATTCCAAGTTTTTATCAGTCATAAAACTTCAGTATGACAGTGCTCATTATTTATCCCCTTAACTTAGACCATCCTGTGACTTGGGCAAATCTGTCAAAGACAATATTAAAAAAAAAAAAAAAAAAAAAAAAAAGTATTTCAATGTATAGAGGAGAATTTATGGCCTTTTTCTGAACCACTTTGGGGCTTCAGTGGATCTGGGAATATCCATCCAGTCTTGGGAGCTTTGGCATCACAGTTGTATAAAGGGATTCCAGGAATGTGGCAGAGACAATAACTGCAATTTCCTGGCACCACCTGCTGGATTCAAGCAGGCAGCTGGAAAACATGTGGCAACCTTTGCAGAAGCTGTGACCCCTTGGTGATTCCAGACCTCCTGCATCCCACCTTGTGACCTGCCAGACCTAAGAATTCCTTGCAGAACAAAGCTTTATTTAAAAATTATGTGTTTGAAGGTTTCTTGTCTCCCCGTCTTCAATGCTGATAGATGCCACTTTTTCAGAGCTGTGGGAGGAACACTCAGTTGTGATATATTCAATATTGCCCAGCTAAATGCATTTCTAGAATCACAAACATCTGGACCTAAATAGTGACAAAAATGAGGAATGTGTATTTGAAGGGAGACTCCACACATAATTTAGCTATTCTAGACACCTTTCAGGTTTTCTTGTTCTTGTTTTTTTTTTTTTTTCACTTGACCAGAAATATTTATTTAGTTATTTAAAGAAACAAAAAACCAAAACATCAATTTTGTATCATTAAATATATACAGAAAAAAAAATCTTTACCATCTTGAAAAATTTTCCCCGAATAGAATTTTTATTAGTAGAAAACTTAATAGTGATTAAATATATCAGCATTCTTAAGACATAATCCCTTTCAAAGGTACTCTCATTTTTCTGTCAAAGTTGCACTTCTTTAGTTTGCCATCTGAATTTTTCATTTTTCTATTGCTGATTAATTTGGATTTTGGTATTTTCCCCCAGTGGACAGTACAAGCTATTTACAGTCATTATTTTACATTTGATGTTTAGTTACCGCTGATGAGTTTTGTACTGACACCATTTCAGCCACTGAAGTATCTTTATTCAACATGCAGGACTGGGGGAAATAGATCCTAGAAGGCCATTCTGTCTTGAAGCATCAGGAGGGACCTTGCCATGGAGCTGAAAGAAAAGCCTCCAAAAAAAACAAAAAAAAACAAAAAAAACCACCAAAAAACAAACAAAACAAAAAAAACCCAAAAAAAACCACGAGAAATTTTAGTTGCTGATATCTGCACACATTCCCATTTCCAGATGTTGGGCAACTGTGATTGCTTTTCCATTTGGAAAATTAATTAGTTTCTTTTTCCTCTTAGAAAACAAACTGGGACAGAATAGTATGTAATGTTTAAATGGCATACAAAACTGCACCAAACTGTTGTGTGGACTACTTTCTTTATAAAGAAAAATCATTTTAAAACCCACCAATTTGCTGTTATGTTGACATGCTTTCCGTGGTAATGAATATGACAACCTAAAATATTTAGGACTCAAGGTATTGGGGGGAAAATCAGAACGTCTGTAGATGTACAGGAGCTATGTAGCAGCCCAATCTTCTTGTTTTTTTGCTAAGAAGTCTCAAATCTAAAAAACAAACTGTTTATATTTACTTAGGAAAATATATAAAATTTATCTTGCGCCTTGTTGCTGCTCCACTAAGAACTTCTGTCATGGTGGATAAAGATCTAAGGTTGACACAACCTTCTTTTCTACAGAAGTTGCTTGTAATACTATTTCCATGCTTTAAGAACAGGTACCACCTTCTGGTGAACCTTATTTAATACAACAGCATTATTTTGTTTTTATTTTTAATGTTATTCCTCTGAGCTGTTTTCTGCCAACTGCCTAATTTCTTACCTTACACAGATACTCCCCAGTGAAAGGCACCGAAGATGAGTTTCTGTGCCAGAATATCCTCAGTACCTGTCAAAAGACTGGAGGTTTTTGCCAAAAGAGTGTAGAGCAGATGAATTCCCAAGCACCACAGCTGGAAAGTGGAATAATCTGCAGTTTGAAGAATGATAGAAATAAAAGATCAGGGAGCAAGCAGGTAAAGCACCTGGTCTTCAGGATTCCTTAACTTGAAGATATATTTTCCTGAGTTCTGCCTGCCCTGACTGACTGCCTGGGCTCTCAGGAACACTCTGCTCAGCAGCCAGCTCTGGCAGTGACCTTCTCCAGGAGTTTCCTCTCCTCTCTCCCTCCCTTTTCCCTGCTGCAGTTTGTTTACTCTCTTCACAAATGAAAAGAGGGACTGAGACGGAAACCTGCTGCAATTTTCTCTGCACAGCAACCCCGTAGAGAATGGAGGGGTGTATGCATGTGAGACAAGCCATAAGGAGAGTCATCTCAGCAGTTATATAAGGAGTTAAACTGATGAGATTAAAGCAGGCATGAAAAACGTTGTTCATGTAGTTAATACATCACTCTGCTGCTATCTACAAAACCAAAGTCCCTGCCCAAGAGATAGCTAAGAGTGGAATCAACAGGTTCCTCCAGCAAGCCCTTAAAAAAATGGGGAATTAGAATAGAAATACAAATAGAAAGAAACAGAAGTAGAAATAATAGAAATAGAAATAGAAATAGAAATAGAAATAGAAATAGAAATAGAAATAGAAATAGAAATAGAAATAGAAATAGAAATAGAAATAGAAATAGAAATAGAAATAGAAATAGAAATAGAAATAGAAATAGAAATAGAAATAGAAATAGAAATAGATAGAAATAGAAATAGAAATAGAAATAAACAGAAATATTCCTATGAAAATCATCTAGTTCAACTGTCTGACCATTCCAGAGCTGAGAAAAGTTAAAACTTTTTATTAAGGCTATTGTCCAAATAATTTGTTTTAAGGCAGGGGTGAGGCATGGGATGTCCATCACCTCTGTAGGAACTCTGTTCCTGAACCTCCTCTGAAACAGCTTTGAGCCTTTCCCACCCATACTGTCACTGGATCCCAGGGACTTCTGTAGCTCCCTCTCCACATCCCCTCCTCAGGAAGCTGAAGAGAAGCACGAGGTCGTCCCTCCAAACAGGACAAACCCAAGCTTCTCAGCTGCTCTTCATGGGACATGGGACTCTGGATGCATTCCATACCCTAATATGCTGCTTAAACTGCCCAACACTACACACAAAAAAACCCCCCACAATGCTCCTTTGGCCTTTTGGCAGTGTTTAAGAGCTGCCAGTTTTATCTAGGGAAACTTAAGCCTTCCAGCAGTGAACAGGAATTGATAATGATGCTAAACCACCTCTGTGAAATCACCTGATTTTCATAATCAAGTAATGAAATAACTAAGATTATTTGATTTTTATGAAGGAATGAGTTCAAGTGCGAAAAGCAGAATTTTCTTCTCTGAAGATGTAGTTACTTGCATTTTTCAAACCAGCAAACTTTAACTGTAGTTCAGAAATTCCTTAAAAAGGACATAGATACAAGTGCCTTGATACTTCAGGGTGAAGCAGGTAGATGTTAACAGCTCAACTTTTAAAACCTTTAGCCTCCAGACTGAGAACACCACAGAGTAAGATTTAATAAGCCTCTTTCA